TAATAAGTTCAATACATTTTATTGATTTCCTACTAAGTTAAATACATTTTTGAATTCTGTTTTAATGTCTGAATTCTGTGATTCCGTCCGCGTTTTATAGGGCCCTCGGCTAGCGATTAGCAGATACGGCTGGTAATCACCTGACTATGTTCCAAGTGGACCGCACAGGCAGGCGACGGTCATGAAGCTGATCCAACCAGGTCTTCCCAGTACGATCATCTATCATTTACCTACCTCTGCTCTGCCACCATGCTGCCAAGAAACCCTAGATTAAGCCTGTTTTTTTCCCTATGGTTTAGTTACACTCAAAGGCGGCTTTGTTGAATGACGGCCCAGTGTGATAGGAGAGACGGATAGGATGCACTCCAAGGCTGACTGGCTACTTCTATAAATCTCAGGTGTTTAAGATTAGAGACTGGGAGCTCAGCTCAGCTGCATCCATCTAGCCAGAGCAGAGTTTAACATAAAGGAGTATTCCATTCCCCCGAGTGTGATCGTTTTAAGCGCTATCGTCTCAAAGGCCACGGCTGGCTTGTGGCTACAACGCCGAGGAGATCCAAAGGCTTTTAAAGCTTTTCTTCAGTCTACCATGATAGTGGGAATCAATGGTGCATCTTCACTGAGAAATGGTGTTATATACAACTGTTGTCTGCTGTTGTACTGAAGTGGTGGTTCCTAGAGAGGAGGAAAGTCAGAAACACAACACACACACTCAACGCCACTTGTGTCCCCTACTACATAGTTGTCAGCACCAGTGACAGCAGTTAGGTTGGCTATAACATTGCAGTTAGGTTGGCTATAATATTGCAGTTATTAGGTTGGCTAAAATATTGCATGCACACCAGTAAAATAGCAAAGGCAGTTCCATGTTGCCTAATGGATCTCACATACCCCACACATATCCAGATTCCCTGGAATGGTGACTGGTTCTTCCTAGGATGGGCATTTGACTGTTCCGAGTACTCACATTATTTTTCTTTGAGTAGTAATGGAAAAAATCTATTTTTAAAACACAAGGCCGCACTGGGGATTTTTTGTTGTTGCACATTTATCTTTAGGCCTATGCCAACAGTGCGCAACAATTCCTAATTTATCATAACCATTACAGATAACAAATCCTAATTGCTAAATTGCCCCATATACACTGAGTGTACAAACCATTAGGAACTCTTGTCATGACATAAACTGACCAGGTGAATCCAGGTGAAAGCTATGATGCCTTATTGATGTTGCTTGTTGAATACACTTCAATCAGTGTAGATGAAGGTGAGGAGACATGTTAAAGAAGAATGTTTAAGCCTTGAGACAGTTGAGACATGGATTGTGTGTGTGCCATTCAGAGGGTGAATGGGCAAGACAAAATATTTAAGTGCCTTTGAACGGGGTATGGTAGTAGGTGCCAGGCACGCTGGTTTGAGTGTGCCAAGAACTGCAACGCTGCTGGGTTTTTCACACTCAACAGTTTTTTCCTGTGTATCAAGAATGGTCCACCACCAAAAGGACATCCAGCCAACTTGACACAACTGTGGGAAGCATTGGAGTCAACATGGGCCAGAATCCCTGTGGAACGCTTTAGACTCCTTGTAGAGTCCATGCCCCGATGAATTGAGGCTGTTCTGAGGGCAAAAAGGGGGTGTTCCTAATGTTTTGTACACTGTGTATATTCAGTCAATAAAAAAGCAAGTGCCATTTAAGATAAATTAATGAAACCGTAATATCAACTGGTTATTTTATATAGTGGAACACAATCGTCAACAGGCAGTAACCTCAGCAGTGGCACTTGCTTGTAGAAGCCTATGGCTGTGCAATGGTATAACCTTGCTTTATTCATTTAGCAGACAAAGTCGCTCTTATTTCCAGAACCCTTATCACAGTCAAGACACCTATTTTATAGTTAAAAAAAACATGATGTAATATAACAGAATATTTTTTCCAAATGGAAAAAAAGTTGCCAGTGCGAAGGGATGCGTATCTTTAGTGGAGAACAGTTATTCTCAAAGAGTGATAATTTGAAACGGGGCTCAATTTGGCGAGTTGAAAGCTATGTCACATCAGGGTTACAAACCAAAATCTGTCTTTTTGATATACAGATGTTCGATGTACTTTATTTTGCCTGTTCTTTGGAATTTTCTAAATGGAATAACAATTCCACATGGAACACTGATGAATTACGGCCATGACATCTATTTAGTGAGTAGGCCTATGCTCAATGATTCTGATGAAAATATGCCCTTTGTCTTTATAAAACGAATGTTCTTGTGTCTACTATTTTCAGTGTGGAACCTGTCTATGTTTAGGGGGGTTATAGGCCAGTGGTTCCCAACCGTTTTCGGTTACTCTACCACCAACTGTATTTTGCCAGTAGGCCTATGGTCTCGTCTTCTCAAATACCCCCTGTGGATAGGCTAACCAATTCTAAATGGCACTAGCCGTTCGCAAAGTAGCCTAACCAAAACATTGACTGGACACAATTATTCCAAAACTGAAGTTCGTTGTTGTAACACATTTTTCTACTTCAATCAACCAGTCCATTTTGAGTTTGAGATAAAACTGTTGTCATTTGGCAAGCAATGTAGCTTGTGTGTGCACTCTGCACGCGTTTTGTGTCGGGAGCGGTCGGAACGCAATTGAGTGAATGGGACATGGAGGGGAAAGGGAATTTAGGGAGAAGAACTGTGATGCTTGGTTTCTTTTTGTTGTTCCCCGCAAATGCACATGTACAAATGGAACACTAGAGCAAATTAAAGTTAGCTTAAAGACAATTTCATTTGCCCCTTCGGGCAGCCACAAAGCACATTCCACCAAATAGTATTACAGTATAAAAAAAAAAAGTGATCTCTGGTTAAAGATCGAGTTTTGACGTCCGTTCGAGGACTCTAGAACTCATGGCCGTCCCCCGTTCTCCCTTCCTTCTCCTGCTGTTGTGTGGGGTTTCAACATGCAGCAGCTGCTACACTGCCTCTCCCTCCATGTCTCCACTGATAAAACCGTTGGAATTCCTGTGATTTATCACCTAGGACACCCAGGACAGAGTTTGAGAAACCCTTGATTTTAATTCATACTGAGAGGTGGAATAGCATAGCAGTGTTCACGAAGGGCTTGGTAGTCTGACTCAGGAGTATGTCTCCATTCCACCCAATAGCATAGCTGTTGTAATGCAAAGGCATACCATAAGATCAGGGCATGAAATTAACACCCGTCAAATGCGGGTAGATGTCTAGTTCACCAGCCACGTTGGCGGGTGGTCAATCTGCAGGGCTCTACAGTCAGAGCATTATATTCGCGAATAGAAATGGTCAGAAGTCAAGAATGAGCACATGTGCGACTTAGGGTTAGAAAAATGCTGCAGTAGCTGTTTTCAAAGTATTTCTGCTGTTTTGTTTCATGGCTGCTAATTGCACAAAGAAATAGGAATCTTATATCCCACCTCGTGCTGAAACGCTGCCTGGCAGTGAGCTGTGCGCAGTGAATGAAGTGCTGATGGATTCATTTTTGGAAGCACTGTTTCTGGCATTAAAGTTGGTATAATTTACTCAAAAGTCTACAAAGTGAGATCCTCGTGTTTCTTGGCTATGTAAATTGTTTTGTTCACAAGCTCTGTTGTGTTTCAACTTTAGTTTGGGTCTGCTGCTTCAACTGATAGCGACCAGCCCTAGTCAGATCTCAAGTCTCACACACACAGACACACTGACAGGACTCGAGTGGCCTGGTTACCACGGTAACCTCCCGCCCTTAAAGGGGCAGCTGAACATTTTGATTAAAAGATTGAGGTCACAAAAAAATTGAATGAAATTTAGCAATATACCACATTACTTCTTACTAATACATTTCTTGTTTTAGAAACATTAGAAAGCATGGTCCTCCATTTCTGTTTTTTTATGTAATTATGCCGGAAAAATATTTTGGCTGGTGGACTAAAGTTAATTTTAGCCCCTGCATAAAATGGAGGACAGTTAATGGTTTGGGTTGTGGTCTTGTGGGTGTGTCCTTAATGGTGTATTTTGATTGGATGAGGGAGGGTCCTGAGGCGTGCTAGCTACTCGAGAGCTGTAACAGGGTGAAGGCGTGTCTTAAGACATTGGGGTATGCTTGGAAGAGGGTTAGTTTGAGACCGATTAGGCGCTGGTGGCTGGGCTGGGCTGTAACAGGGTGAAGGCATGTCTGAAGACATTGGGGTATGCTTGGAAGAGGGTTAGTTTGAGACCGATTAGGCGCTGGTGGCTGGGCTGGGCTGTAACAGGGTGAAGGCGTGTCTGAAGACATTGGGGTATGCTTGGAAGAGGGTTAGCTTGAGACCGATTAGGCGCTGGTGGCTGGGCTGGGCTGTAACAGGGTGAAGGCGTGTCTGAAGACATTGGGGTATGCTTGGAAGAGGGTTAGTTTGAGACCGATTAGGCGCTGGTGGCTGGGCTGGGCTGTAACAGGGTAAAGGCATGTCTTAAGACATTGGGGTATGCTTGGAAGAGGGTTAGTTTGAGACCGATTAGGCGCTGGTGGCTGGGCTGGGCTGGTTGGCACGTGGTGGAGGGGGCAGGGATTAGAGGGGCAGGCCTTACTACAAAGGCCATATGCCTGGAAGAGACTTGAGATGGGGACACTGAAGGAGTGGAAAGGGGGAGGGAGGGGCTTAATGCTACTGAGTGACTATTTTAGTGACTGGACTGTCAGTGGTGCTTGACTGCGGCAGGTCACTCTGCCTGCTGGACATGCCATGATGCCGGTTTCAACACGTGGGTTGACTTCAGACCTTTGCGGTCTGAGCATACTTTAAGTAATTTAATTTTAGTTTAGTTTCAAACCAGTGGTGCTAGCCTATCTCTCTATTTCTCTCTCTGTGTGCACTGCAGTTTGGTGTAATCTAGTTGACTAATTTATTCTCGTCCCTCCTCTCTTGTCCCTCCTGTCTCTCCTCTCTTGTTCTCTCTCCTCTCTTGTCCCTCCTCTCTCTTCTCTCCTCTCTCTTCTCTCCTCTTGTTCTCTCTCCTCTCTTGTCCCTCTCCTCTCTCTCGTCCCTCCTCTCTCTCCTCCAGGTTATAATGCATGACCAACACAGAAAAAGTTTGACTCTATAGCCAACGGGATCCTGAGGACTTGATTACGGTCGCTTCAAGCCTGATAGTTTGCATCGGTGCGGCTGCCCCCCTCCCTCCGGCTCACACCCCTCTGGACGACTGGCACCCCCCTCTCCTCCGCTGGTAAAGAAGACTTGGGTTCCCTTGTGGTCTCGGTCTACTTTGTCTTCTCTCCCATTGGCCCCTGTTCTCTACTGATACCAGTAGCACTCCCCGGTGTTACGTCATTCTGTATTAGGTAAGGCAATTATTACTAATGCATGAGGCAGATTTCACACACACACACACACACACACACACAATGCGCATGTGCCTAATCAAAATCCTCATTGTGATCATGAATTAATCAAACAAGTTTTTTATGAACAATCCCTTGGTCGTTGTGGTGGGAGGGCGGGTGGGGAATGTAAGGGGAGACTCAGGGGATTGATGGGTGGGAGGGGAACTGATGGGCAACCTTGCAGGATGGGAAGGGGTGGGAGGCATGCTTTGGGGGAAAATAAAATGACAAAACAAAATAAAAAGTTGGTCACAAAAAAATTAATGTAGATGTCACTGTGATACTAATCTTTTTTTCATGTCCCCTCCCCTCGTCCTCCATCCCCCACTCGTCAGGCTCTAACCCCAACATTTAAACAGTGAAGATGATTCCTAACGGTTATCTGATCTTTGAAGATGAGACTTTCCTGGATTCCACTGTGGCCAAAATGAACGCCCTGAGAAAGAGCGGACAGTTCTGTGACGTGAGACTGCAGGTACGTGAAGATCTCTCTCCCCTTTTTCTTTTCATCCTCCTTGGCCAGGGCTCACTTGAAAAATAAAGGAGCACCTGTGACACGAGGGGGAGAGGGGGAGTGGGAGGATGAGACATGCAGAGGTATTTTTTTAGATTCCAGGTTTTGACAACTTGTTCTCCTTCGCTAAAGGCAAAACAGGTTGTCCTAAAGCCAATCACATTTTTGATCCTATAGGTTAATCCACCATCCTCAAAGCTAGATATTTCCCTGTCAGTCAAGCTAGTGTGATGTGTAAAAGGAAAACAGAAAATTCAGAAGGTGTAATTAAGATAAAATCTCATTGGACAGGAGTTCAATATTTACTCTCCTATTTCCTGTTGATGTCAAAATGGTGTTGTAGTACTTTTCTTCCGGAGAGAGAGAGAGAGGCAGGGCCACATTACTAACCTCTCTCTCAATCCCTCACTTGCTCTTATTGGGCGATTCCATGCCAGAAGGCCCACATATGTTTGGTATCTCAGATTGTTCTGGCAATTCTCACATAGAAACTGAATTGGGAGGAAGGTATGTTTTGTTGTGCTTTTGACATTTGTATATATTTTTTTGTTTTGTTGAAAATCATGATGAAAGTGGCTATTTTAGGCCCTTTTTAGACCTATACATGCCTCCTGTAAGACCCTATGATCTGTGAACCGTACATGATGCAGACATGTTGTTGTCATTATACTCCTTATAGTGTGCTCTAAAATATGGAGTATGTCTAGATTCTGAAAAAAAGATTTAATTTATTTAACATAAAAAATATATCTCAAAAGTAAATATTCTAGACGAAGGTATTGTCGGTGTTGTTGTGGCTTTCAAAATGAACCAGAATGAAAGTCTATAGCATAGGCTATTCTCAATCACAGCTTTATGGGGGATAGAACAAACAATATTATTTATTTTAGGAGGCAAATAAAGCAATTATTATCAAGTTGTGAAGACGATAGACTGCTACTATCCAGCCCATGATGTAGTCCTATAACCTAGCTCACTATGTTAAGACAGCCTGTTCCTCATCAGACCGTCACTGCTCCATCATGATGTAGTCCTATAACCTAGCTCACTATGTTAAGACAGCCCGTTCCTCATCAGACCGTCACTGCTCCATCATGATGTAGTCCTATAACCTAGCTCACTATGTTAAGACAGCCCGTTCCTCATCAGACCGTCACTGCTCCATCATGATGTAGTCCTATAACCTAGCTCACTATGTTAAGACAGCCTGTTCCTCATCAGACCGTCACTGCTCCATCATGATGTAGTCCTATAACCTAGCTCACTATGTTAAGACAGCCCGTTCCTCATCAGACCGTCACTGCTCCATCATGATGTAGTCCTATAACCTAGCTCACTATGTTAAGACAGCCCGTTCCTCATCAGACCGTCACTGCTCCATCATGATGTAGTCCTATAACCTAGCTCACTATGTTAAGACAGCCTGTTCCTCATCAGACCGTCACTGCTCCATCATGATGTAGTCCTATAACCTAGCTCACTATGTTAAGACAGCCTGTTCCTCATCAGACCGTCACTGCTCCATCATGTGCGCACCAGACAGACACACAAACCTGTTCTGCTCCTCCACCAGAAAATAATATCACAAAAAATTAGCCACTGCCTGCACTTAGCCTCTGCCCAGGCCTTCAACAGCATTCTTTCTCCCAGTTGCATAGGGGCGATAGCGTCATATATCACAATGTTTTATGGGTACATGATCACATTAGGACAAATGATTACATCGTCCAACTCTAGTCCCCGCCCTCCCCTTATCCCTCTGTCTCTGTCTCTGACACTCACTTTCTCTTTTGAAAATGGGTTTATTTTTTATTGATATAACCTCTGAAGAAGGACCTGTATAGTTTGACCCCTGATCCCTGACCTTTTGTCCTCTGTAGGTGTGTGGTCATGAGTTGATGGCCCACCGTGCTGTGCTGGCCTGCTGTAGCCCTTATCTGTTTGAGATCTTCAATAGCGACATCGAGCCTCACGGCGTGTCCCACGTCACCTTCGAAGACCTGGACCCAGAGGCTGTGGAGATCCTGCTCAACTACGCCTACACTGCCCAGTAAGTACCATGACCTCTGACCCCCTAACTGCACCTACACTGCACAGTAAGTACCATGACCTTTAACCCCCTAACTACGCCTACACTGCCCAGTAAGTACCATGACCTCAAACCTCTGACCACTACACTATGCCTACACTGCCCAGTAAGTACCATGACCTCTGACCCCCTAACTGCACCTACACTGCCCAGTAAGTACCATGACCTCAAACCTCTGACCACTACACTATGCCTACACTGCCCAGTAAATACCATGATCTTTAACCCCCTAACTGCACCTACACTGCCCAGTAAGTACCCTGACCTCTGACCCCTACACTGACTGTCTTTCTTACAGGTTGAAGGCAGATAAGGCGTTGGTTAAGGAGGTCTACTCTGCAGCCAAAAGACTCAAGATGGAACGAGTCAAGCAAGTAGGATCTCTCTCTTGTTTCAACTACTGATACTCCATATTGTACGTTTTAATGCAGTCCCAATGGTCAGTTTCACACTTATCTACTCTCTGATTGGTCAGATCTGTGGCGACTACCTGCTGTCTAAGATGGATTCCCAGACCGCCATCTCCTTCCGTAACTTTGCCAGCTGCATGGGAGATGGCCGCATGCTGGCCAAGATCGACGCCTACATCCAGGAACACCTGCTGGAGGTCTCCGAGCAGGAGGACTTCCTCAAACTCCCCCGCCTCAAGGTGAGCCCTCCCTGGACACAGGGTCCAGCTTCTGCCCCTCTCGCTGGGTGGAGAGATGGTCTACTACAACCTTTCTTAACCCAGTCCACAGGACCCACCTGTCGGTCCATGTACAGTATGTGATGCATTCTAACTCCAGGAACCTGAAACTAGTCAACTAATCAGCAAGCTGTTGTTAATTAGAATCAGGTGTGCTGGTGTTGGGATACATCAGATGTATGGAAGCAGTGGTGGGCCCTGAGGATTGGTTGAGAAAGCATGGGAAAAGCCTGTACAGTAATGTACTGTACAGTAGCTAACTTCATAGGTCTTGAGTAACTAATCCAAGCACCGTGTTTTTAGCTTTTTAATTTATGCCGTTGTGCTTTCTTTAGATTATTACATGGCAAAACCTCATAAAATGAGTATGATATTCTAGATGATGATGTTGGGTTGAGCAGTAAAGCTGGGTAATATGAACCAAAATCCATAGCGCGATAAATATACTTTTTTTTTTTTGTGATAACAATAAATCAGCGATAAATTGTAAACTAAATAAATAAACTACAAATGTTTTTTGGACAGTTACTGTACATTAGCGGCAGGGCTCTAGATTATAGTATTTTTTTCAGTGCGAAGTAAGACAACTGAGATGGTAGCCTATGAATTTATTTTATTTTAAATAAGCTATTTCATCTAACATATCCAGGGAATGCATGATTTGATATTTTGATGTGCAACCTGTCAAAATAGGATCCAGTATTATACAATTTATTTTTTGCTCTTCAGAGAATTTGATGACGTCTTTTTGCATTTTTGCCTATAGGCTATATTATTTACCACCTGAGGAAGTGGGAACTCAAAACACTTAGCTAGATTGCTAACTCTAAATATGATATTGTTGCTCGATAGCCATGTAGTCTAATTGATTAATCTATCAGTAAATTATGGTTAATGTCATACAGAAACTTTCCAGCGCTACGCCTAGGCTACTTGATGTAGGCCTATTCACTGCAAATGGCTCGCTCTGCTCCGCTCCACGGGCACATCAAAACAAAGTTCCTGCCCTGCCACAAAAGGCTGAGTGTGATACAGCTTATTTATTATTATAGTTCAGAGCTCTACGCTGACATGTTTTACAAGGAGTACATGATGTGCTCCTAAGTAGAAATGTAGAAGCACACAAATAAATCTAGGAGAACAATTCAAGTATTTGAGTGTTTTAATGATAAGAAATTACTAAAAGTTAATGAATAAAAGTTTTTAGGAGTGATCCATTCTCAATCAAGCACAATCATTAGGTGAGACAAATGTTCAGCGGCCACTTTAAGGGACTGGCCGTTACCGTGGTAACTTGGGCACTCGCTTGTCTGTGATGAAATAAATCTCAGACTAATGTCTTCCTAGTAGCAGACCGTTGCAGCAAACTCAATCTAACATTGAAAACAACCTAATGTTAGGTTGTGAACAAAACGATATAACTGGCCAAGAAACACAAGGACAAAGTCACACTTTAGTAGCCTTTCTTATCAATTCGACTAACTTCTACATGTGGCCTTTGGATGACCACCCGCCAACATGGCTGGAGAAATAGACCTCCTTACCCACCAATGACAAAATATACCCGTATCTGGCGGGTTGCGGGGGTTAATGTCCAACGCTGAGTGTCGGTAATTTTTGGTTTATCGTCCCAGCTCTATTGAGCAGCCTCGCTGCAGTAGTTATACTGGTCTTTATCTTGCCTAGAAGGCATCAACTGATTGCTCTATTGACCGTTGGAGGACAAACATGGATAAATAATCTTAGTAGAAATGTTAGCTGTTCCTGCTCTGAATCTTGCCCAATATGTATTAATCATTGAACAATTATTGAATGTCTTGGTGGACGTTCATATCTAAATCATTAGCTCCCATTTTTGCATTTACACAGATACAGTATTTGATCCTGGCTCAAAATGCGTTCATTTAGATTATCTGTGATGGAGCATCGGTTAATGTGGCTTTAACCCAACTTGTTACTCAGGGCCTTCAAATACAGTTAGTTGCATTATTATTAGGGCTGGCACAATGACCGTGTAACCAACGGTTATGGATGAAGACAGCCATGAAAATAAAATAACCGTACATGTAAAAAAAAAAAAAAAAAATGTAAAAGAAAGCTGACTGAAAACGGGACGGCCGGGCATTCTTGTGGTTAAGTCAATTTCTGCGCTAACATGAACTCTTAACAACATGATGGAACTTTGTTGCTCCTTGCTGAAACAAGCAAGGTGTTGTAGCAAACAAGTCTTCGGTTGCCTAGGCAACACCCCTTCCCTGCAGCCGCAACACACATAGAAATATAATGAATAAAACCGGCTTGGAACCTCTAACCCTGCCGATTTGACAGGTTAACTCATGAGTACACACGCAATGGCTGAAATGGTATTGTGATGCAATAATTTCCATGGTAATGTAGAATGTTCATTCAAATGATGGTAACTGATGCAGTGAAATGTATTTTTGTAATGTCAGTTGAGTTTAATCAACAAATCACCGCACATATTGATGGGTACACTTCCTGCTTTGCTCCTATTTGTACACTCGCAATGGCCGCCAGTCCACCCATTATGCCATCATTGACTTGAATGGGGATTCCTGTTCTATCTATTCTATTTCTATGGCGGCGCATGCAGCCAGGAGCGGAGGAGAGGAGAAAATGTCAGTCTTAAACAACAAAAACCGTTATTGCGATGACCGCATTTGTCTGGCCAATAACAGTCTTTCAAAATTCCATGACTGTCACATCCCTAGGCAGTATTACCTTTGGTGCTGCAGAATGTACTTTGGATTTCCCAGTTACTGGTTTTGATTTAATAGTCTTCTTTGTCTCTAGTTTGAGGTGAAACACAACCCTTTTTTGTGACAGCTAGACTATGATGGTTTAATAATGATTCAGTTTCTTGTGATTTGTGGTATGACCAAAGCACACCCTAGCCATGGTTGATCCTAGATGGGGTTGATCCTAGATGGCTTTTTCTAACCTCTTTTTAATTTGCCACCTCTTGTGTCTGTGTGCCTACAGTTAGAAGTAATGCTGGAAGACAGCCTGAGCCTGCCCAGCAACGGCAAGCTCTACAACAAGGTGCTCAACTGGGTCCAGCGCAGTCTGTGGGAGAACGGAGGCCAACTGGATAGACTGATGGAGGAGGTCAGTACTGTAGCTGGAGTTTAGCTTGCACTCATCCAACCCATATCCCTCGCTACCTCCCCACCTTCCCTCTCTTCTCTCTTGCTTTCCTTTAACAAGTCGTCTGCATGCTTCAGTTCGGCTGGCGCCTAGCCGAGCTCGGCTAGTCGAACTGAACGAGTGTGCTCCTTTAAAAGACCTTCACTTGAAAAACGAGAAAAAAACGCCAACGGTACTGTTTGTCCATTTTGAGATGCTGTAGCCAGTATACACTTCCTCAAAATAGTCAGAATTAATCTAAGATGACTCAAGAAAACTGTCATGAATTTTGACGTTTCGCAATTTTGCATCTGACTAGGATGTTTGGTGCAGTACTTCTCAAGTGAAAGAATGTGCATGAGGAGTAGTCGTCTCTCGTTAAATGACAACAGGCACTTTATTGAAGAATCCCTACTGTTGACCAATCGCCGACGAGGGGACGTAGACTTCGGCTACGGACTTCGGCTAGTCTTGAGAGAGAAATTCGGTGCCCGAACAGCCGAAAAAAAACCTTTCCTGAAAAACCCTTTCCTGAAGTCCAACACGGACAAAAACATCACAAAATGTTGTCATAATATATGCAGGAACTGTTTCGGCTGGGAAGCATACGGCCGTCTTAAGGCACTGTTCCAAACCCAAGGTCATGGCACGCTGTGTTAGGACTGTGCTGGTTCTTTTTTGTTCTTTTTCTCTCCTTTTCTTTCCTAATGTTTTAGTTCTGCAGTACAGTGTACCTGGACACACTGCAAACTAGAGGTGAGCAGAGACAGAGCTGTGTTGCTGTTCTGTTTTTAGTGATCAGTTGGATCCACCCACAGTGTTTTGACTTTTGGTCTTATTCTCTTTTGCATTGAAAGATGTGAGCAGGTCCCTCACTCTGTTCTGTCTCACTGATGCCCTTTTCTTTCTGAGCAGGTAGCAGGTGGGGGTGTGTGTGTGTGTGTGTGGGTGTGTGTGTGTGTGTGTGTGTGTCAGCGAGCGCTCCAGTACTAACGGCCGTTCCTCCCCGTTGATTTGTCTCTCCTCCAGGTTTATTAACAGCAGCAGGAGAGCAGACTGAAGAGCCAAGACTGAGCCACCAGGGTAATGAGTCAGGGAGAAACAGGGAGAACAGAGGGAGGATAGGAGCAGCCCCTCCCCTCTCTCCCCTCTCTCCCCTCTCTCTCCCCTCCCTCCCCTCTCTCCCCTCTCTCTCTCTACAGCCAAAGCAACACTGAGCTCCCATCTGTCTACACACACACAGGCCTGCTTAACTTACACATACACTACCGTTCAAACGTTTGGGGTCACTTAGAAATGTCCTTGTTTTTGAAAGAAATTAAAATAACATCAAATTGATCAGAAATACAGTGTAGACATTGTTAATGTTGTAAATGGATGGCTATTGTAGCTTGAAACAGCTGATTTTTTTATTGAATATCTACAGAGGCCCATTATCAGCAACCATCAGTCCTGTGTTCCAATGGCACGTTGTGTTTGCTAATCCAAGTTTATCATTTGAAAAGGCTAATTGATCATTAGAAAACTCTTTTGCAATTATATTAGCACAGCTGAAAACTGTTGTGCTGATTTAAAGATGCAATACAACTGGCCTTCTTGAGACTAGTTGAGTATCTGGAGCATCAGCAATTGTGGGTTTGATTACAGGCTCAACATGGCCAGAAACAAAAAACAACTTTCTTCTGAAACTCGTCCGTCTAGTACACAGCGTTGTACGAGATCTTCAGTGTCTTGGCAATTTCTCGCAAGGAATAGCCTTCATTTCTCAGAACAAGAATAGACTGACGAGTTTCAGAAGAAGGTTCTTTGTTTCTGGCCATTTTGAGCCTGTAATCGAACCCACAATTGCTGATGCTCCAGATACTCAACTAGTCTCTAGAAGGCCAGTTTTATTGCATCTTTAATCAGCACAACAGTTTTCAGCTGTGCTAATATAATTGCAAAAGAGTTTTCTAATGATCAATTAGCCTTTTCAAATGATAAACTTGGATTAGCAAACACAACGTGCCATTGGAACACAGGACTGATGGTTGCTGATAATGGGCCTCTGTACGCCTATTTAGATATTCAATAAAAAATCAGCTGTTTCAAGCTACAATAGCCATCCATTTACAACATTAACAATGTCTACACTGTATTTCTGATCAATTTGATGTTATTTTAATGGACAAAAAAAATATTTTCTTTCAAAAACAAGGACATTTCTAAGTGACCCCAAACTTTTGAACGGTAGTGTATTTACATTTTGTAAAGTATGCATACAACCTAATTGACTTACATTCCACTGACATCCAGTGGAGAGCACTCCCAGAAACCCATACCCACTCACAGAAACCCATACCCACTCACAGAAACCCATGTCCACTCACAGAAACCCATGTCCACTCACAGAAACCCATGTCCACTCACAGAAACCCATGTCCACTCACAGAAACCCATGTCCACTCACAGAAACCCATGTCCACTCACAGAAACCCATGTCCACTCACAGAAACCCATGTCCACTCACAGAAACCCATGTCCACTCACAGAAACCCATGTCCACTCACAGAAACCCATGTCCACTCACAGAAACCCATGTCCACTCACAGAAACCCATGTCCACTCACAGAAACCCATGTCCACTGAAAAGACCATCTGCATAGCACACAACCATGATTACCCCCCCCACATACTCGGTACACCCGTCATAATTCACTATTCAATGAGGCGTGCCATCTCATTCATGATTTATAGCCAAACCCCTTATTTTGGAACTGCATTTAATTTTAACCAATTTTAAGAACTACGAGATGTCCTTTAAGTGGGCATGGGCAGAATGACGGCCATTTTAGCCATAACCGAAAAGAGTCTTTTGAAATGGTTCTCTGCTCAAGCATATTCTATTCTACACTATCTCAATGCCCATTGTAATTTTGTTTGAAAACATCTCTATTTTCTGAAGTTTTATTTATTAACTATTTGTATGAAACAATAATGTATGTAAAAGCTTTGCCTTCAACTATGTACGCATAACTCATGGATTTACATCGGAAAGCTGCAGTGCCTTTTTCCATGCAATTATAATGACCAACTTCCTCAGCCAACCGTGAGCGTGTTTTCCAAGCGTTGAGATCATGGGGACTGAAGACGTTTCCAGATGCTTCATCTTTACCAACTCCCCCCTCCTCCTTTTTTAGATCTTAGGGAGGGAGAGGGATGCACAGGAGCAGCAACTGCCCCTACATTTACTGTAACCACCTGCGTTCCTTCAACTGTGTGTCCATGTTGATAAAGAAGCCTTGGCTCCTACCGGTGACGACTGGTCAACCTGGACCCTCCTCACCCAACCAACCCCCTCCCCCACCGTCCTCCTCCCCCTCCCTCCCGTGTTGCCAGGGTGCTGCTGTGTGTTGCCATGGAGACAGCCTGCCACATGGGTGTTGTGTCGCTGTGTGTCTTGCAGGTGCAAACGCTGTACTATTCAGCCGACCACAAGCTGCTCGATGGCGCTCTCATCATTGAGGAACATGGGGTGTTTGGTGTTGGTGCAGAGGACCACATCCAGTTTGTGCAGGTACACACCCCGCCCCTATCCTGGGCCTACCTGGGTTTAACTCTGTGTCGCTTGGCCCAACCTGGCCCATCTCCACCTTATGTAGCCTGGCAACAAGGGCGCAGCCAATTAGTGTGTAAAACCTGGGGTTACTACAGACCTGCTTGCACAGTAGACTGGTTCTCAGATCAGTCTGTAGACTGGATATTGGGTTATGATCGCTACATTTTTTTGTGTGTTTTGTCTGAGTATGTAGCTGCTTCTTCGTTGGTCAAAGTCTGTGCTGTCTTTCAGCTTGTTTAAATGGGTTGTAGACTGGTTTAAACTGTTGTAGTCTGGGGGACTACTCAGCACTGCTAAAATACTGTTTGGGCGTAGTTCAAGGCAGGTTCAAAGCCAGGATTAGTCCATTTCAGGCCAGATTGTGGAGTGTGTGTGCTCTGCAGCCAACTGGTGTAGTAGCCAGTGGGGGATGTAGTGGCTCTTCCCTCTGGCTGGGTTTCTGTACTGTAGCTGCGTTGGTTGTGCTGTTGCAGAAGAAGCCCCCTCGTGAGAACAGCAACACCCAGAGACCGCTGAGCTCCAGCTCCTCCGGCAGCACCTCGCCCTCCGGCTCCACCTCCAACACACCCCACAGGAGAGAGTGGAAGTATATCGCCTCAGAGAAGACCACCAGTAAGTGTGTGTGTTGGATGTTTGAAGCCTTAGGTGTCAAGGAGTGGGTGTTTAACATAATGTGTATGAATAGCATAATAACGTTTAAGATAATAACTTTTTGCTTTAGTTATTACCATCACCTCTCCACTCATGGCTCTTGCCCTCTCTCTCTCCCCCTCCTCCCTCTCTCTCCACAGACAACACCTACCTGTGTCTGGCTGTGCTGGATGGGGTGTTGTGTGTGATCTTCCTGCATGGCCGTTGCTCTCCCCAGAGCTCTCCCTCTGCCACACCCTGTCTGATGAAGAGCCTGAGCTTCGAGGCCCAGCCTGAGGAGCTGGAGGAACACCCGCTGACCGCCATGCACTACGCCCGCTCTGGCCTGGGCACTGCCGCCCTGCACGGCAGGCTCATCGCTGCAGGTACGGAGATTTTAACCATTGTCTATTTAACATTTATTTATACAGGTTATTCTCATTTGAGATACAATCTCTGCAGCAAGATAGAGCTGTTAGTTAACCAGCCACTGAGCCTCTATCTGGAGACTGGCACTGACCGGTCCCCAGTCTCAAGTCTCAGATCCTCCAAATCAGCCCTGTCACTCACAACTGTCATCTACAGTGCATTCGGAAAGTATTCAGACCCCTTGACTTTTTCCACATTTTGTTACGTTACAGCCTTATTCTAAAATTGATTAAATTGTTTTTTTCCCTCATCAATCTACAAACAATACCCCATAATGACAAAGCAAAAACAGGTTTTTATAAATGTTTGCAAATGTATTTAAAAAAACTAAACTGATATTACATTAACATAAGTATTCAGACCCTTTACTCAGTACTTTGTTGAAGCACCTTTGGCAGCGATTACATCCTTGAGTCTTCTTGGGTATGCCGCTACAAGCGTGGCACACCTGTATTTGGAGAGTTTCTCCCATTGTTCTCTGCAGATCCTCTGGTTGGGTGAGGAGCATTGCTGCACAGCTATTTTCAGGTCTCTCCAAAGATGTTAAATCGGGTTCAAGTCCAGGCTCTGGCTGGGCCACTCAAGGACATTCAGAGACTTGTCCCGAAGCCACTCCTGCGTTGTCTTGGCTGTGTGCTTAGTGTCGTTGTCCTGTTGGAAGGTGAACCTTCGCCCCAGTCTGAGGTCCTGAGCACTCTGGAGCAGGTTTTCATCAAGGATCTCTCTGTACTTTGCTCCGTTCATCTTTCCCTCGATCCTGACTAGTCTCCCAGTCCCTGACGCTGAAAAATATCCCCACAGCATGATGCTGCCACCACCATGCTTCACCGTAGGGATGGTGCCAGGTTTCCTCCAGACGTGACGCTTGGCATTCAGGCCAAAGAGTTCAATCTTGGTTTCATCAGACCAGAGAATCTTGTTTCTCATGGTCCTTTAGGTGCCTTTTGGCAAACTCCAAGCGAGCTGTCATGTGCCTTTTACTGAGGAGTGGCTTCCGTCTGGCCACTCTACCATAAAGGCCTGATTGGTGGAGTGCTGCAGAGATGGTTGTCCTTCTGGAAGGTTCTCCCATCTCCACAGAGGAACTCTGGAGCTCTGTCAGAGTGACCATTGGGTTCTTGGTCACCTCCCTGACCAAGGCCCTTCTCCCCCGACTACTCAGTTTTCCCGGGCGGCCAGCTCTAGGAAGAGTCTTGGTGGTTCCAAACTTCTTCCATTTAAGAATGATGGAGGCCACTGTGTTCTTAGGGACCTTCCAATGCTGCAGAATTGTTTTTGGTACCCTTCCCTAGATCTGTGCCTCGACACAATCCTGTCTCGGAGCTCTACGGACAGTTCCTTCGACCTCTGGGCTTGGTTTTTGCTCTGACATGCACTGTCAACTGTGGGACCTTTATATAGAAAGGTGTGTGTGCCTTTCCAAATCATGTCCAATCAATTGAATTTACCACAGGTGGACTCCAATCAAGTTGTAGAAACATCTCAAGGATGATCCATGGAAACAGGATTCACCTGAACTCAATTTCAAGTCTCGTAGCAAAGGGTCTGAATACTTTAGAACAATTCTAAAAACCTGTTTTCGCTTGTCATTATGGGGTATTGTGTGTAGATTAAGGGGAAAAAATAATTTATTCCATTTTAGAATAAGGCTGTAACGTACAAAAATAAGGGGTTTCTGTTTTTTATTTTTAATACATTGGCAAAAAAAATTAAACCTGTTTTTCGTTTTGTGATCATGGGGTATTGTGTGTAGATTGAGGGAAACATTTTTTTCCATCCATTTTAGAATAAGGCTGTAATGTAACAAAGTGGAAAAGGGGAAGGGGTCTGAATATTTTCAGAACGCACTGTATATGATCAATAAAGCTGATGGTTGAGTAGGTCCAGACTCTGACCTGGTGTCCTCTGTGTTCCCTCTCCAGGAGGTTATAACCTAGAGCTGGGCGACATGGACAGAAATCCATATCGCGATACATTAACCACTTTTTCTGCGATAACCCTAAATCTGCAATAAATAATTTTTTGCTAGAGGTGGCCGATATGGAGAAAAACTTGCGATACATGTACATTTTGCTCGATAACAACAAATACAACGATTAAAAAAATATATAATGTGGACAGTTAAGCTATTTCAACATTATCCAGGAAATGCATGATTTTATATTTTGATGTGCAACCTGTCAAAATAGGATCCAGAATTATCAGTTTTCTGTTTGGCTCTTCAGATCATTTCCAGACATCTTTGTGCATATTGGCCTATAGGCTATACAGTGCCTTGCAAAAGTATTCATCCCCCTTGGCGTTTTTCCTATTTTGTTGCATTACAACCTGTAATTTAAATGGATTTTTTATTTGGATTTCATGTAATGGACATACACAAAATAGTCCCAATAGGTGAAATGAAAAAAATAACTTGTTTCAAAAAATTCTAATAACGGAAAAGTGGTGCATGCATATGTATTCACCCCTTTTGCTATGAAGCCCCTAAATAAGATCTGGTGCAACCAATTACCTTCAGAAGTCACATAATTAGTTAGATTGCACACAGGTGAACTTTATTTAAGTGTCACATGATCTGTCACATGATCTCAGTGTGTGTGTGTGTATATATATATTACAGTGAGGGGGCAAAAAGTATTTGATCCCCTGCTGATTTTGTACGTTTGCCCGCTGACAAAGAAATTATCAGTCTATAGTTTTAATGGTAGGTTTATTTGAACGGCAGGTAGCTTAGTGGTTAAGAGCGTTGTGCCAGTAACCGAAAGGTCGCTGGTTCTAATCCCCGAGCCGACTAGGTGAAAAATCTGTCGACGTGCCCTTGAGCAAGGCACTTAACCCTAATTGCTCCTGTAAGTCGCTCTGGATAAGAGCGTCTGCTAAATGACTAAAATGTAAAATAAATTAACAGTGAGAGATAGAATAACAACAAATAAATAAATTGATTTGCATTTTAATGAGGGAAATAAGTATTTGACCCCTCTCCAAAACATGACTTAGTACTTGGTGGCAAAACCCTTGTTGGCAATCAGAGGTCAGACGTTTCTTGTAGTTGGCCACCAGGTTTGCACACATCTCAGGAGGGATTTTGTCCCACTCCTTTTTGCAGATCTTCTCCAAGTCATTAAGGTTTCGACCCTGACGTTTGGCAACTCGAACCTTCAGCTCCCTCCACAGATTTTCTATGGGATTAAGGTCTGGAGACTGGCTAGGCCACTCCAGGACCTTAATGTGCTTCGTCTTGAGACACTCCTTTGTTGCCTTGGCCGTGTGTTTTGGGTCATTGTCATGCTGGAATACCCATCCACGACCCATTTTTCAATGCCCTGGCTGAGGGAAGGAGGTTCTCACGCAAGATTTGACAGTACATGGCCCTGTCCATCGTCCCTTTGATGCGGTGAAGTTGTCCTGTCCCCTTAGCAGAAAAACACCCCCAAAGCATAATGTTTCCACCTCCATGTTTGACGGTGGGGATGGTGTTCTTGGGGTCATAGGCAGCATGCCTCCTCCAAACATGGCGAGTTGAGTTGATGCCAAAGAGCTCGATTTTGGTCTCATCTGACCACAACACTTTCACCCAGTTCTCCTCTGAATCATTCAGATGTTCATTGGCAAACTTCAGACGGGCCTGTATATGTGCTTTCTTGAGCAGGGGGGCCTTGCGGGCGCTGCAGGATTTCAGTCCTTCACGGCGTAGTGTGTTACCAATAGTTTTCTTGGTGACTATGGTCCCACCTGCCTTGAGATCATTGACAAGATCCTCCCGTGTAGTTCTGGGCTGATTCCTCACCGTTCTCATGATCATTGCAACTCCACGAGGTGAGATCTTGCATGGAGCCCCAGGCCGAGGGAGATTGACAGTTCTTTTGTGTTTCTTCCATTTGCGAATAATCACGCCAACTGTTGTCACCTTCTCACCAAGCTGCTTGGCGATGGTCTTGTTGCCCATTCCAGCCTTGTGTAGGTCTACAATCTTGTCCCTGACATCCTTGGAGAGCTCTTTGGTCTTGGCCATGGTGGAGAGTTTGGAATCTGATTGATTGCTTCTGTGGACAGGTGTCTTTTATACAGGTAACAAGCTGAGATTAGGAGCACTCCCTTTAAGCGTGTGCTCCTAATCTCAGCTCATTACCTGTATAAAAGACACCTGGGAGCCAGAAATCTTTTTGATTTGAGAGGGGGTCAAATACTTATTTCCCTAATTTAAAATGCAAATCAATTTATAACATTTTTGACATGCGTTTTTTTCTGGATTCTTTTGTTGTTATTCTGTCTCACTGTTCAAATAAACCTACCATTAAAATTATAGACTGATCATTTCTTTGTCATTGGGATCAAATACTTTTTTCCCTCACTGTATGGCACCACAACAAACCTGCCAAGAGAGGGCCGCCCACCAAAACTCACGGACCAGGCAAGGAGGGCATGTGGGAGACTCCCCAAACATATGGAAGAAGGTACTCTGGTCAGATGAGACAAAAATTTAGCTTTTTGGCCATCAAGGAAAACGCAATGTCTGGCGCAAACCCAACACCTCTCATCACCCCGAGAACACAATCCTCACAGTGAAGCATGGTGGTGGCAGCATCATGCTGTGGGGATGTTTTTCATCGGCAGGGACTGGGAAACTGGTCAGAATTAAAGGAATGATGGATGGCGCTAAAAACAGGGAAATTCTTGAGGGGAAACCTGTTTCAGTCTTCCAAAGATTTGAGACTGGGGCGGAGGTTCACATTCCAGCAGGACAATGACCCTAAGCATACTGCTAAAGCAACACTCGAGTGGTTTAAGGGGAAACATTTAAATGTCTTGAAATGGCCTAGTCAAAGCCCAGACCTCAATCCAATTGAGAATCTGTGGTATGACTTAAAGATTGTTGTACACCAGCGGAACCCATCCAACTTGAAAGAGCTGGAGCAGTTTTTCCTTGAAGAATGGGCAAAAATCCCAGTGGCTAGATGTGCCAAGCTTCTAGAGACATAACCAAAGAGACTTTCAGCTGTAACTGCTGCAAAAGGTGGCTCTACAAAGTATTGACTTTGGGGGGGGGGGGGTGAATAGTTATGCACGCTCAAGTTTTCAGTTTTTTGTCTTATTTCTTGTTTGTTTCACCCCAAAAATTATTTTGCATCTTCAAAGTGGTAGGCATGTTGTGTAAATCAAATGATACAAACCCCCCAATTTTAATTGCAGATTGTAAGGCAACAAAATAGGAAAAATGCCAATGGGGGTGAATACTTTCACAAGCCACTGTGTTATTCACCACCTGAGGAAATGGGAACTCCAACCACTTAGCTAGATTGCTAACTCTAAATATGATATTGTTGCTAGATAGCCATGTAGGCCAATTGGTTAATCTATCAGTAAATGTAGGCTAATGTTCTACAAAACTTTCCAGTGCTAGGCTACTTGATGTAGGCCTATTAACTGCAAATGCTCCGCGAGCGCATAAAACCATACTTCAGCCTACTCTCGTTGTAAAGTGGTGCCATGAACTCAATATTAATAGGTGAGAAATACATTGTATACTCACAGAAAGCTGTGACTCTCCTCTCTGTAACTAGAACAATAGTAGTTGTTTTGAAAACGTTATTTGTCCTCCAATTGCATTTTGAGCAATGATCATATATGCTTGTGCTCCCTCCTCCGTGTGCACAGTGACCAAATAGTGGTTTTAGAACAATCTACAGGAACGTTGTGTAGAAAAATCACAGGAAATTACAGATGTAAGCAAAATGGTTCGGTAAGAGGAAGGCGGTGTTTGGTAGTTTTCGGTTTATCGTCCCAGCTCTAGTATAACCCCAGTCACCTGCTGTGAGCTATAGGCTCATATTAAGGGCTCTGTAGGCCCAGACTCTGACCTGGTGTCCTCTGTGTGTTTTCTGTCTCCAGGAGGGTATAACCGAGAGGAGTGCCTGAGGACGGTGGAGTGTTACGACCCCAAAGACGACCGCTGGACCTTCACCGCTCCCATGCGGACTCCCAGGGCTCGCTTCCAGATGGCAGTGCTCATGGTACGACACCCTGACCTTTGAACCCTAATTTCATAGGATTGACAGGTGCCTGTCTGACTTAAACCTGCCCCTCTGTCTCCTCATCTCTCATAGGGTCAGCTGTACGTGATGGGCGGCTCCAACGGCCACTCGGACGAGCTGAGCTGTGGGGAGACGTACGATCCGCACACTGACACATGGGCTCAGGTGCCAGAGCTCCGGACCAACCGCTGCAACGCAGGTGTCTGCTCGTTGAACAACAAGCTGTTTGTGGTGGGAGGGTCGGACCCCTGTGGGCAGAAAGGCCTGAAGAACTGTGACGCTTTTGACCCTGTCACCAAGACCTGGAACAACTGTGCTCCCCTCAACATCAGTAAGTACCTATACCACACACATGCTACACACCAGAGGAGGCTGGTGGGAGGAGCTTTAGGAGGACGGGCTCATTGTAATAAATGGAATGGTATCAAACACATCAAATGTTCCATTATTCCATTCCGGCCATTACAATGAGCCCATCCTCTTAAAGCTCCTCCCACCAGCCTCCTCTGCTACACACCGACTGTACCTATATCTCTCATAGTGTACACTGAGCAAAAAGGTTCCAGATAATAGGGGCTCCTTTGACTTGTCTCCAGGGTGGAACCCTTTAGTAATGGTGCTTATTATTAATTGCATGTACTGTCTTAGTGAAGAACTGGAACAGGTTTGAGTTGGCCAGTGAATGTGAAAAGTGATGAATGTGTGGTGTTAACTCTGTTCCCCTAGGGAGGCACCAGGCGGCGGTGTGTGAGCTAGAGGACTTCATGTACGTGATTGGAGGTGCCGAGTCGTGGAACTGCCTGAACACAGTGGAGCGCTACAACCCTGAGAACAACACCTGGACCCTCATCTCCCCCATGAACGTGGCCCGCAGGGGGGCTGGGGTGGCCGTCTACTCTGGTAAGAGACTTCTCCATAGAAATAGCTTTCTGATTATATTGTCTGCTCTAAACTGGGGAAGGCTCAAGGGGATTACCATGTAGAGGGTAATGGGTTCACTGGGGTGGGGATGCAGTTTGCTTTGTTTGCAACCTCGGAATTTTTTCCATCGCAACTTTTTTCCCTTATTCAACTTTTTCACTCCGGACGCTTTATCTGGACATGGTTCATCAACATCTTCAACAGCCGAAGCTAAGTAGTAACATTAACATGATGTCTTCTAATTGCAGTCGCTGTACTCATAATATACAGGAGAATTCTCGCCTTACGGCGAGAATAGCTGTGCTACAAGCCCAGCTTCAGACGCAATCGTTAGGCAAGGGTAATATCAGTGTAGGAAAGGAAGAAACAGCGTCTGTGCCACCAGTAAGTACAGACAGTAACGTCAGTATAAATCCCCCCGCACAGTCCCCGCAGCCGGACAACTTTCTCATGGCTTCTGGAGGGAAATACTGTTGGAATGCTCAACCGGTGTCGCTCATTCAGCCGACAGAAACCTTCAACCGGTTTTCCCCATTATGTAGCGAGTCGGAGTCTGAGTCTGAGTCTTCTCTAGTCTCTACTCCTCCCGTTACGGGGTCTGAGACTCCGAAGGCTCCCACCATTAGCTCTGACAAATTGAAAACCCTAGTCATTGGCGACTCCATTACCCGCAGTATTAGACTTAAAACGAATCACCCAGCGATCATACACTGTTTACCAGGGGGCAGGGCTACCGACGTTAAGGCTAATCTAAAGATGGTGCTGGCTAAAGCTAAAACTGGCGAGTGTAGAGAGTATAGAGATATTGTTATCCACGTCGGCACCAACGATGTTAGGATGAAACAGTCAGAGGTCACCAAGTGCAACATAGCTTCAGCGTGTAAATCAGCTAGAAAGATGTGTCGGCATCGAGTAATTGTCTCTGGCCCCCTCCCAGTTAGGGGAAGTGACGAGCTCTACAGCAGAGTCTCAGCACTTAATCGCTGGTTGAAAACTGTTTTCTGCCCCTCCCAAAAGATAACATTTGTGGATAATTGGCCCTCTTTCTGGGACTCACCCACAAACAGGACCAAGCCTGACCTGCTGAGGAGTGACGGACTCCATCCTAGCTGGAGGGGTGCTCTCCTCTTATCTACCAACATAGATAGGGCTCTAACTCCTCTAGCCCCACAGTGAAATAGGGTGCAGGCCAGGCAGCAGGCTGTTAGCCAACCTGCCAGCTTAGTGGAGTCTGCCAATAGCACAGTCAGTGTAGTCAGCTCAGCCATACCCATTGAGACTGTGTCTGTGCCTCGACCTAGGTTGGGCAAAACTAAACATGGCGGTGTTCACCCTAGCAATCTTATTAGGATAAAGACCTCCTCCATTCCTGCCATTATTGAAAGAGATCGTGATACCTCACATCTCAAAATAGGGTTACTTAATGTTAGATCCCTCACTTCAAAGGCAGTCATAGTCAATGAACTAATCACTGATCATAATCTTGATGTGATTGGCCTGACTGAAACATGGCTTAAGCCTGATGAATTTGCTGTGTTAAATGAGGCCTCACCTCCTGGTTACACTAGTGACCATATTCCCCGTGCATCCCGCAAAGGCGGAGGTGTTGCTAACATTTACGATAGCAAATTTCAATTTACAAAAAAAAAAATGGCGTTTTCATCTTTTGAGCTTCTAGTCATGAAATCTATGCAGCCTACTCAATCACTTTTTATAGCTACTGTTTACAGGCCTCCTGGGCCATATACAGCGTTCCTCTCTGAGTTTCCTGAATTCCTATCAGACCTTGTAGTCATAGCAGATCATATTCTAATTTTTGGTGATTTTAATATTCACATGGAGAAGTCCACAGACCCACTCCAAAAGTCTTTCGGAGCCATTATCGACTCAGTGGGTTTTGTCCAACATGTCTCTGGACCTACTCACTGCCACAGTCATACTCTGGACCTAGTTTTGTCCCATGGAATAAATGTTGTAGATCTTAATGTTTTTCCACAAAATCCTGGACTATCGGACCACCATTTTATTACGTTTGCAATCGCAACAAATAATCTGCTCAGACCCCAACCAAGGAGCATCAAAAGTCGTGCTATAAATTCTCAGACAACACAAAAATTCATTGATGCCCTTCCAGACTCCTTCTGCCTACCCAAGGACGTCAGAGGACAAAAATCAGTTAACCACTTAACTGAGGAACTCAATTTAACCTTGCGCAATACCCTAGATGCAGTTGCACCCCTAAAAACGAAAAACATTTGTCATAAGAAACTAGCTCCCTGGTATACAGAAAATACCCGAGCTTTGAAGCAAGCTTCCAGGAAATTGGAACGGAAATGGCGCCACACCAAACTGGAAGTCTTCCGACTAGCTTGGAAAGACAGTACCGTGCAGTACCGAAGAGCCCTCACTGCTGCTCGATCATCCTACTTTTCCAACTTAATCGAGGAAAATAAGAACAATCCAAAATTTCTTTTTGATACTGTTGCAAAGCTAACTAAAAAGCAGCATTCCCCAAGAGAGGATGGCTTTCACTTCAGCAGTGATAAATTCATGAACTTCTTTGAGGAAAAGATCATGACCATTAGAAAGCAAATTACGGACTCCTCTTTGAATCTGCGTATTCCTCCAGGGCTTAGCTGTCCTGGATCTGCACAGCTCTGCGAGGGCCTGGGATCGGGAGAGACACTTAAGTGTTTTAGTACTATATCTCTTGACACAATGATGAAAATAATCATGGCCTCTAAACCTTCAAGCTGCATACTGGATCCTATTCCTACTAAACTGCTGAAGGAGCTGCTTCCTGTGCTTGGCCCTCCTATGTTGAACATAATAAACAGCTCTCTATCCACCGGATGTGTACCAAACTCACTAAAAGTGGCAGTGATAAAGCCTCTCTTGAAAAAGCCAAACCTTGACCCGGAAAATATAAAAAACTATCGGCCTATATCGAATCTTCCATTCCTCTCAAAAATTTTAGAAAAAGCTGTTGCGCAGCAACTCACTGCCTTTCTGAAGACAAACAATGTATACGAAATGCTTCAGTCTGGTTTTAGACCCCATCATAGCACTGAGACTGCACTTGTGAAGGTGGTAAATGACCTTTTAATGGCGTCAGACCGAGGCTCTGCATCTGTCCTCGTGCTACTAGACCTTAGTGCTGCCTTTGACACCATCGATCACCACATTCTTTTGGAGAGACTGGAAACCCAAATTGGTCTACACGGACAAGTTCTGGCCTGGTTTAGATCCTACCTGTCGGAAAGATATCAGTTTGTCTCTGTGAATGGTCTGTCCTCCGACAAATCAACTGTACATTTCGGTGTTCCTCAAGGTTCCGTTTTAGGACCACTATTGTTTTCACTATATATTTTACCTCTTGGGGATGTTATTCGAAAACATAATGTTAACTTTCACTGCTATGCGGATGACACACAGCTGTACATTTCAATGAAACATGGTGAAGCCCCAAAATTGCCCTCGCTAGAAGCCTGTGTTTCAGACATAAGGAAGTGGATGGCTGAAAACTTTTTACTTTTAAACTCGGACAAAACAGAGATGCTTGTTCTAGGTCCCAAGAAACAAAGAGATCTTCTGTTAAATCTGACAATTAATCTTGATGGTTGTAAAGTCGTCTCAAATAAAACTGTGAAGGACCTAGGCGTTACTCTTGACCCTGATCTCTCTTTTGACGAACATATCAAGACTGTTTCAAGGACAGCTTTTTTCCATCTACGTAACATTGCAAAAATCAGAAATTTTCTGTCCAAAAATGATGCAGAAAAATTAATCCATGCATTTGTTACTTCTAGGTTAGACTACTGCAATGCTCTATTTTCCGGCTACCCGGATAAAGCACTAAATAAACTTCAGTTAGTGCTAAATACGGCTGCTAGAATCCTGACTAGAACCAAGAAATTTGATCATATTACTCCAGTGCTAGCTTCCCTACACTGGCTTCCTGTTAAGGCAAGGGCTGATTTCAAGGTTTTACTGTTAACCTATAAAGCGTTACATGGGCTTGCTCCTACCTATCTTTCCGAGTTGGTCCTGCCGTACATACCAATACGTACGCTACGGTCACAAGACGCAGGCCTCCTAATTGTCCCTAGAATTTCTAAGCAAACAGCGGGAGGCAGGGCTTTCTCCTATAGATCTCCATTTTTATGGAACAGTCTGCCTACCCATGTGAGAGACGCAGACTCGGTCTCAACCTTTAAGTCTTTACTGAAGACTTATCTCTTCAGTAGGTCATATGATTGAGTGTAGTCTGGCCCAGGAGTGTGAAGGTGAACGGAAAGGCTGGAGCAACGAACAGCCCTTGCTGTCTCTGCCAGGCCGGTTCCCCTCTCCACTGGGGTTCTCTGCCTCTAACCCTGTTGCAGGGGCTGAGTCACTGGCTTGCTGGTGCTCTTTCATGCCGTCCCTGGGAGGGGTGCGTCACTTGAGTGGGTTGAGTTACTGACGTGATCTTCCTGTCTGGGTTGGCGCCCCCCCCCTTGGTTTGTGCTGTGGTGGAGACCTCTGTGGGCTATACTCGGCCTTGTCTCAGGATTGTAAGTTGGTGGTTGGGGATATCCCTCTAGTGGTGCGGGGGCTGTGCTTTGGCGGAGTGGGTGGGGTTATATCCTTCCTGTTTGGCCCTGTCCGGGGGTTTCTTCGGATGGGGCCACAGTGTCTCCGGACCGCTCCTGTCTCAGCCTCCAGTATTTATGCTGCAGTAGTTTATGTGTCGGGGGGCTGGGGTTAGTTGGTTATACCTGGAGTACTTCTCCTGTCTTATCCAGTGTCCTGTGTGAATTTAAGTATGCTCTCTCTAATTCTCTCGTTCTCTCTTTCTCTCTGAGAACCTGAGCCCTAGGACCATACGTCAGGACTACCGGGCATGATGACACCTTGCTGTCCCCAGTCCGCCTGGCCTTGCTGCTATTCCAGTTTCAACTGTTCTGCCTGCGGCTACGAAACCCCTACCTGTCCCAGACCTGCTGTTTTCAACTCTTAATGATCGGCTATGAAAAGCCAACTGAGAGACCTGAGCCCTAGGACCATACGCCGGGACTACCGGCCGTGGTGACTCCTTGCTGTCCCCAGTCCGCCTGGCCTTGCTGCTATTCCAGTTTCAACTGTTCTGCCTGCGGTTATGGAACCCCTACCTGTCCCAGACCTGCTGTTTTCAACTCTTAATGATCGGCTATGAAAAGCCAACTGAGATTTATTCCTGATTATTATTTGACCATGCTTGTCACTTATGAACATTTTTGAACATCTTGGCATGGTTCTGTTATAATCTCCACCCGGCACAGCCAGAAGAGGACTGGCCACCCCTCATAGCCTGGTTCCTCTCTAGGTTTCTTCCTAGGTTTTGCCTTTCTAGGGAGTTTTTCCTAGCCACCGTGCTTCTACACCTGCATTACTAGCTGTTTGGGGTTTTAGGCTGGGTTTCTGTACAGCACTTCGAGATATTAGCTGATGTAAGAAGGGCTATATAAAATAAAATTGATTGATTGATTGAATTTGGCAGAAATATCAAAATCGTTACTCAGATTTGTGCTGACCGTTCTCTCTCCTTATCACTATCTCCTTCTCTTCCCCTCTCTAGGGAAGCTCTTCGTGGTTGGTGGGTTTGATGGCTCCCATGCCCTCCGCTGCGTTGAGGTGTACGACCCAGCCCGCAACGAGTGGAGGATGCTGGGTAGCATGACCGTGGCACGCAGCAATGCGGGCGTGGCCGTGCTGGGTGATGTCATCTGCGCCATGGGCGGCTTCGACGGAAACAACTTCCTGAACACGCTGGAGGTTTACGACCCCGAGACGGATGAGTGGAGCGACTGCGCCGATGCCCTCTCCTCCTCCGCCTGAGGGTTAAGGGTCAGAGGTCAAGTGTGGGGGAGGGGGGGTTACCGTTCCCAAACTAACAGGCTTAGTGACGTAATCGTGTTTTGTGATGTTCTGTACGTGAGTGGGAGGAAGGGGAATCATTTTGGCAGGGGTTCTTCAGTGAAGACTGGAATATTTGGGGGGGGGGGGGTTGCCGAAAGCAACATTAAGCATTTGCATACAATATTTTTCGTGCTGTATATAGTTTCCTTTTTGTCTTAAGAATGCCAACATTTAATACACTTTAGTGCAATTTCGTTTATTTTATTTTTTTTAGAGTTGAAAGGTTTGTGTATTGTTTTCAGAGAAGAAGCTACTGTTCTGGTCATCTCAAGACTACATTGGACCTACTGGTCTGGATGGGTGATGGTACTGGAAAACTTTGGGTTGACTTGATTTAGAAAGTGATTCTGAATATTTGTTTTCATTTTGAACTATCATTTTAACTCACACATATTTAAAGATCTGCAGTTTGAAGCCTTATTCAAAGAAAGAGTAACTCCCATCATGGCTTTGTCATTTAAACTAAAGCTGGATTGCTTTTCGAATCTTTAATGATGGCCTTTTTTTATATTTTTATACACTGCTGATTTACCAATAGAGGAAGTAGCGGACGCACATGACAACTGAGTCATCAAATGAAACCAGTGCCAGTTTAGTAACATAGCACACACACACACACACACAACCATGCTTCTGTGCTTGTTCTAACCAAGTCTTTTGTTAATGCGTTTTGACTAATTCACTATTGTAGAGATGCTGTTTTCTTTATTTCTTGTGGTGTTTTAAAAGGTTTCAGACATTTGGCTTCGATTTTCTTTTTTGAGGTTAGAAGCATTGGAAGGTGCTGTATCACATTTGTAACACGCTGATATTCCTTAACTAATAAACCATTTCAACCTGACGGCATGTGTTCTTGTAGTTTTTTTTATTTCAATTTCCAATGAATACAGTACTAGAACCAGTCTCAACGTCAACAGTGAAGAGGCGACTCTGGGATGCTGACCTTCTAGGCAGAGTTGCAAAGAAAAAGCCATATCTCAGACTGCCCATCTTAATCTTTTCTTTTTATTGGCCAGTCTGAGATATGGCTTTTTCTTTGCAACTCTGCCTAGAAGGTCAGCATCCCGGAGTCGCCTCTTCACTGTTGACGTTGAGACAGGTGTTTTGCGGGTACTATTTAATGAAGCTGCCAGTTGAGGACCTGTGAGGCGTCTGTTTCTCAAACTAGACACTCTAATGGATTTGTCCTGTTGCTCAGTTGTACACCGGGGCCTCCCACTCCTCTTTCTATTCTGGTTAGAGCCAGTTTGCGCTGTTCTGTGAAGGGAGTAGTACACAGCGTTGTACGAGATCTTCAGTCTGATGAGTCCAAATTTGAGATTTTTGATTCCAACTGCCGTATCTTTGAGACGCAGAGTAGATGAACGGATGATCTCCGCATGTGTGGTTCCCACCGTGAAGTATGGAGGAGGAGGTGTGATGGTGTGGGGGTCCTTTGTTGGTGACACTGTCAGTGATTTATTTAGAATTCAAGGCACACTTAACCAGCATGGCTACCACAGCATTCTGCAGCGATACGCCATCCCATCTGGTTTTGATGTCTTCACTATTATTCTACAATGTAGAAAATAGTAAAAATAAAGAAAAACCCTTGAATGAGTAGGTGTGTCCAAACGTTTGACTGGTACTGTATGTGGGAGGTGTTGCTGTAGATATTCATAGCCATATCCCTGTAATGCTTAGAGAAGATCTTATGTCAAGCGTTATTGAAGTGTTGTGGTTGCAGGTTCACTTGGTACATCTAAAGCCTTTTCTTTTAGGTTGTTGCTATAGGCCACCAAGTGCTAACAGTCAGTGTCTAAATAATGTGTGAAATGCTTGATAGAGTATGTGATGTAAACAGAGAGGTCTACTTTCTTGGGGATTTGAATATTGACTGGTTTTCATCAAGCTGTCTGCTCAAGAGGAAGCTTCTCTCTGTAACCAGTGCCTGTAAACTGGTTCAGGTTATTAATCAACCTACCCGGGTGTTTACAAACACTACAGGAACAAGATCATCCACATGTATCGATCACATTTTTACTGTATCCATACCCATTGGATGCAGTGATCACAATATAGTGGCTATATCCAGGAAAGCCAAGGTTCCAAAAGCTGGGCCTAAAATAGTGTATAAGAGAGATCATACAAAATATTTAGCTGTGACTCTTATGTGGATGATGTTCAAAATATTTGTTGGTCTGATGTGATTAATAAGGAGCATCCAGACGCTGCACTTGATGAATTTATGAAGTTGCTTCTTCCAATTATTGATAAACATGCACCTGTTAAGAAACTGACTGTTAAAACTGTTAAGGGTCCATGGATTGATGAGGAATTGAAAAACTGTATGGTTTTAAGAGATGGGGCAAAAGGAGTGGCTAATAAGTCTGGCTGCACATCTGACTGGCTGATTTACTGCAAATTGAGAAATTATGTGACTAAACTCAACAAAATAGAAGAAGAAACTGTATGATGGATGATGGAGAAAAAAAACTTTGGAGTACTTTAAATGAAATTATGGGCAGAAAGACAAATTCAACTCCATCTTTCATCGAATCAGATGGCTTATTCATCACAACCATTTGATGTTGCCAATTATTTTAATGATTACTTCATTGGCAAAGTGGGCAAACGTAGGCAGGAAATGCCAACAACAAACAGTGAGCCATCGTATTCATGCATAAAAAAAACAAATAATGAAAGAAAAGCATTGTAAGTTTGAATTTTTTTAAGTTAGTGTGAGAGGTGGAAAAATTATTGGTATCGATTAATAATGACAAACCTCCTGGCATTGACAACTTAGATGGAAAACTACTGAGGATGGTAGCTGACTATGGCCACTCCTATCTGTCATATCTTTACTCTGAGCCTAGAGGAAAGTCTTTGTCCTCAAGCCTGGAGGGAAGCCAAAGTAATTTCGCTACCCAAGAGTGGTAAAGCGGCCTTTACTGGTTCTAACAGCAGACCTTGCTAAGAGCTTGCTGCCAGCTCTTAACAAACTGTCAGAAAAAAATGGTGTTTGACCAAATACAATGCTATTTCTCTGTAAACAAATTAACAACAGACTTTCAGCATGCTTATTTTTTTATTTCACCTTTATTTAACCAGGTAAGCCAGTAGAGAACAAGTTCTCATTTACAACTGCGACCTGGCCAAGATAAAGCAAAGCAGTGCGATTAAAAACAACAACACAGAGTTACATATGGGGTAAAACTAAACAAAGTCAAAAATACAACAGAAAATATATATACAGTGTGTGCAAATGTAGCAAGTTATGGAGGTAAGGCAATAAATAGGCTATAGTGCAAAATAATTACAATTAGTATTAACACTGGAATGATTGATGTGCAAATAGAGATACTGGGGTGCAAATGAGCAAAATAAATAACAATATAGGGATGAGGTAGTTGGGCGGGCTAATTTCAGATGGGCTGTGTACAGGTGCAGTGATCGGTAAGGTGCTCTGACAACTGATGCTTAAAGTTAGTGAGGGAGATAAGTGTCTCCAGCTTCAGAGATTTTTGTAATTTGTTCCAGTCATTGGCAGCAGAGAACTGGAAGGAATGGCGGCCAAAGGAGGTGTTGGCTTTGGGGATGACCAGTGAGATATACCTGCTGGAGCGCATACTACGGGTGGGTGTTGCTATGGTGACCAATGAGCTAAGATAAGGCGGGGATTTGCCTAGAAGTGATTTATAGATGGCCTGGAGCCAGTGGGTTTGGTGACGAATATGTAGTGAGGACCAGCCAACAAGAGCGTACAGGTCACAGTGGTGGGTAGTATATGGGGCTTTGGAGACAAAACGGATGGCACTGTGATAGACTACATCCAATTTGCTGAGTAAAGTGTTGGAGGCTATTTTGTAAATGACATCGCCGAAGTCAAGGATCGGTAGGATAGTCAGTTTTACGAGGGCATGTTTGGCAGCATGAGTGAAGGAGGCTTTGTTGCGAAATAGGAAACCGATTCTAGATTTAACTTTGGATTGGAGCTTCTTAATGTGAGTCTGGAAGGAGAGTTTACAGTCTAACCAGACACCTAGGTATTTGTAGTTGTCCACATACTCTAGGTCAGACCCGTCGAGAGTAGTGATTCTAGTCGGGTGGGCAGGTGCCAGCAGCGTTCGATTGAAGAGCATGCATTTAGTTTTACTAGTGTTTAAGAGCAGTTGGAGGCTACTGAAGGAGTGTTGTATGGCATTGAAGCTCGTTTGGAGGTTTGTTAACACAGTGTCCAATGAAGGGCCAGATGTATACAAAATGGTGTCATCTGCGTAGAGGTGGATCTGAGAGTCACCAGCAGCAAGAGCGACATCATTGATATACACAGAGAAAAGAGTCAGCCCAAGAATTGAACCCTGTGGCACCCCCATAGAGACTGCCATAGGTCCAGACAACAGGCCCTCCGATTTGACACATTGAACTCTATCTGAGAAGTAGTTGGTGAACCAGGCGAGGCAGTCATTTGAGAAACCAAGGCTATTTAGTCTGCCAATAAGAATGCGGTGGTTGACAGAGTCGAAAGCCTTGGCCAGGTCGATGAAGACGGCTGCACAGTACTGTCTATTATCGATCGCGGTTATAATATCGTTTAGGACCTTGAGCGTGGCTGAAGTGCACCCATGACCAGCTTGGAAACCGGATTGCATAGCGGAGAAGGTACGGTGGGATTCGAAATGGTCGGTGATCTGTTTGTTAACTTGGCTTTCAAAAACTTTCGAAAGGCAGGGCAGGATGGATATAGGTCTGTAACAGTTTGGATCTAGAGTGTCACCCCCTTTGAAGAGGGGGATGACAGCGGCAGCATTCCAATCTCTGGGGATCTCAGACGTTACGAAAGAGAGGTTGAACAGGCTAGTAATAGGGGTTGTGACAATTTCGGCGGCTAGTTTTAGAAAGAAAGGGTCCAGATTGTCTAGCCCAGATGATTTGTAGGGGTCCAGATTTTGCAGCTCTTTCAGAACATCAGCTGTCTGGATTTGTGTGAAGGAGAAGCGGGGGGGGGCATGGGCAAGTTGCAGCGGAGGGTGCAGAGCTGGTGGCCGGGGTAGTGGTAGCCAGGTGGAAAGCATGGCCAGCCGTAGCAAAATGCTTGTTGAAATTCTC